AATTGAGTTTTCCTTTGTTCATTCTTTGTTTTTCCTTCGATAATTATTCAATGTTGGAGCAAGGTTTTGTCATTGGATAAAATGCTTGAACTGATCTCTATAAGGTACATTTCGCTAAAGTTAAGACTGCTGCTTACTGTATGTGGCCCCCAGTAAAGATTTCCCCTTCATTTCCTGATTTATAGGTTACCAGCACAAATATCATTCTGACGTTATGTCGTCCACTATCGCTTCGTTCGCCAACTTCCTCAAACAATCCAAGGCGCACGCTGTGGACAACCGCGAAGTCTTAATCGCTGGCGTGTTGTACAAGAAGCCTGACCGTAACTCACTGCTTTGGAAAAAACGCTACTGTGTTATTTACGCGGGGGAGTTGCAAATTGTCTACTTTTTGTCACTCGACGATTTTGAAAAGCGCGCTATTCGAGGCAAAATTCCCTTTAGTTCAGTGCATCCATGGGACGGTAAACCTAATGGTTTTCAGTTTTACACACCAGCAGATAATTGCTTCCGTGTGTACACGGACTCAGCTGAGGAACAGCAAAAGTGGCTCGATGTCATGCAACAATGTCTAGATAATGCTCCTGACAAAAAAGACGGAGAAAAGGTTGAATATACACGTCCAGTAGCGTCGTCTCCATTATCGTCTCCCAAAGCTGCCAGTTTTCGGCCAAAACGTAGCGATTCGTGGCGTGAAGAAGATCCGGACGTCTTAGCCATGGCCGTTGAATTAGAAGATCTTCGTAGCGAAGTCACGACGCTTAAAGCCGAATTGGCGTCGTACGAACAGGCCGAAAAGCGTTACGGAACTGAAATTTCCGTAGCGAAGACGCGTCGTGGCTCCGTCCTAGACGATGGAACAGAGCTTAACATGGAACCTCGTGAGATGGAGCGAATGCGTGCGATATTTAACCTTTTTGATGTACAAGGCAACGGGTTTATTAGTGAAGATGACCTTTTGGACTTGCACGCTAAGCTAGGCGAGCCTATTTCGAATGAAGACGCTCGAGAAGCCATATCATTTATGCACAGCAAATCTGCCACGGGTCAGATCGACTTTAACTCGTTCATGAAGTGGTGGAATGATGATCACGCGGCCGACAATCAGACGGAAGCCATGCGTCGATACCAAGCCAAATTTAAATTCCTTAAAGCTCGAATTGCTAATCCCGAAGTCGGCAATATTGAGACGGAAGCAGTTGGTGCGTTTCCAAGCTTTGAGTTCCGCGTCAACTTTTACCACACGGGACCAAATGGCGTACGACAACAAATTTCGCCCTGGCATGACATTCCGCTATACAATCCAGATGGAACTGTCAACTTTATTTGTGAAATCCCCAAGTGGACACGCAAGAAAATGGAAATCGCCACAGGTGAACCATTTAACCCCATAAAACAAGACACAAAGAATGGCAAACTGCGTGAATATGGTTGGGGCGAAATGATGTTTAATTATGGCGCCATGCCACAAACATGGGAAGATCCATCGCATGTGACGGAAGGAACGGGTTGTGTGGGTGATAATGACCCGATTGATGTCGTCGAGATTGGTACGAAACAGTGGCGTACAGGTTCCATCGTACAGGTCAAAATTTTGGGCGTCCTCGCTCTGATTGATGACAATGAGACAGATTGGAAGGTCATTTGCATCAATGTGGAGGACCACTATGCGCCACTTATTCACGATGTGGCAGACATCGAAGCTCACATGCCTGGATGCATCACAGCTATCCACGACTGGCTTCGTGACTACAAATTGCCACAAGTGAACAAATATGGCTACAATGACAAGTGTATGGGTCGTGACTTTGCCGAGGCAACTGTGGCCGAGACTCACGAATTCTGGAAATTGCTAATTGAACAGCGTGGTGGCCAAGCCACAGTCTAATAAGCATGATCTTCACCAAATTAATCAGAAAAAAAACTAGAAAAATGATGCATCTGTTATTCATGTTGAATTGTTAAAATGGTACTTGGAGGTTGCACATCGCATTCATACTGTCCTATTGCGAGCTGTCGTATAGGTTTGATCCTTTTTTACATAATGCTAAGAAAAGCGCATCTTGTCTTACGTTGTAAATATCTTCTTTTGTCATTGTGATGGACTTCTTTATGTGGTCATAACAATAGATGGTTTAAAAATAGTCATGACTGAAATATGATGTCATTGTCCGGTGACTACCGTTGATGTGCGGCTGGCTTCAGCCTCGTCCTCGATCGGTAATATTCAGGTACAAGGCAACAAGTTCTTAAAAATGCAGCGTCATTTAAGAATCTACCCTCTGAGGTATTATATCGGGTTTCTTCAATCTTAAGTTGCTATGCCTGTAGAAGTTGTCGTTCCAGTTGAGCTTGACCTCATTAACAACTTTAATGACGTCGGTCCCGAGCTTTTGCCGCAACAGATGGTTGCGGTGTCGTCAAACTGTCAACTGACCATTTCACCGTCGTCACAGAGCAGTCATCCATCGTCACCAACCTCTATCGAAAGCGATGGATTCGAATTGAGCCATTCGATGATTAACTCGAGCTCCACTTCTATAACCACCGCTACGACGTCGGCAACGCTTGATTTAAGCGCATCGACGGAGACTTATGTGGATGATTCTGCATCCTTAGCGTCAAAAGCAAATTCGAAAACAAATTTGTCGATTTTGGAAAAGCGGATGCGAATTGGAAAGTCAAAACTTGGCCATGCACGATACAAAAACGTCAAACGCAGTTTTAAACCTCCTGAGGGAAATGTTATTAATCTTCATCACGAACAGTATGCACTCACGTATGGTATGATGTGTGGCATTCGTGACTCGGCTGGGCTTCAAAATCCGTTTAAACAGCGCTTAACGATGGATGATTTCATGTCGGTCGACAACAAGATCTTTCCTGCAACTGGACAGCTTCAACATCCATTTAAATTTAAGGATTACTCTCCGGATGTCTTTCGTCAAGTGCGTCGTCGCTTTGGCATCGACTTGGCCGACTACATGCTTACATTGAGTGGTGACTTTAATTTTATCGAGTTTATGTCGAATTCCAAATCAGGACAATTTTTCTTTTACTCCCATGACGGACGATTCATGATCAAAACGCAAACAAAAGATGAGTCAAAGTTTCTTCGTCGGATTTTGCCGCACTACTACAAGTTTGTGATGGAAAATCCAGATACTCTTATCACGCGCTTTTATGGCATGCACCGTGTCAAGATGCACCATTTGAGAAAAAAAATGCACTTCGTCATCATGGCTAGTGTGTTTGATACGCCATTGGATATCCACGCACGTTTTGACTTGAAAGGCTCCCGTGTTGGACGCCATGCGACTTTAAAAGAGCATCAACGAGGAAGTGCAGGTGTTTTAAAAGATAATGATTTGCTGGAAAAAGGCTTTCATTTGCAAATGGGGGTAGCTCGACGGACTATTTTTCTCGTGCAGCTTCGAAAAGATGTTGAATTTTTAAAGCAGATGAAGATTATGGACTACAGTCTTCTCATCGGAGTTCACGATTCGGGCTGTGAACTTTCGAACGATTTGTACATGGGGGCTACATGGAGCGATAGCTCCGGTAGTGTTATGTCTGACCAAGGAAGTAATTCTATGTCATCACCAAGTTCTCCTGCTCGCTCAGACCCTGGATTGACGATGTCAGTACCTCATCTGCAATCATACCGATCGTCTTCTATGCCAGAAACTGATGTTGAATTACAATCAATTCCCAGCGCAGTTTCATCTATCCAGACTCGATTGGCGCTTTCACCTCCAAGCACACCTACATTTGGAGATGGATATAAGGGATTGGATCTCGACTCGGACAATGACTCAGAAACGAGCAGTGATGGTGGTTTTGGACTCAGCTTTGGCAATGCATTTGGTGACTTTGCCTCACCAGCGAATCGTAGTCCGTTTGGGTCTCTGCCTTCGACACCTAGAGGCTCAGTATCAACGATGACGCCGTTGTCTCCTCGTCTACTCGACACTACAGCGTATGCAGAGTATTCTGAGTCTGTATTTTGCAAGGATGAAGGTGGCATGTACGGACGTGATCGTCATGGTAGGAAGAATGGGTTTGTTTACTTTTTAGGTATTATTGATATCCTGCAGCAGTACAACACGCGCAAGATTGCTGAAGCCTTTATAAAGGGCTTGCGTCACAACCGCAAACAGATTTCGTCGGTTAATCCTGATTTTTATGGGGATCGGTTTATCGAGTTTATGGAGAAACATGTCGTTCAAGATGATACTCTCATTTCACCTCGTCCATTAGTTTCTCCAACTTCTGCGAGTAGTGTTGACTCAATGCCACATATGGAAGATGACGCCTGCTGAATATGTGTAAATTTGCCTTATAGCTAGGTTTAGAAAAAGGGAAGATGTTATATTTTCAAGAATAGCCATTTTGGATGTTATATCAATTAACTTAAGTTTTGTGAGCTAAATCTTAGAAATGTTGTTTGATGATGAATCAAAAAGCGACTATACAAGACATGTCGATTTCCAAATTTGTGCAATGGGTGCACATTGCACAGGAGGAAGCTTTGACTCTCAGAGTCAGCGTTAGCAAACACACAGATTTTGGGATCGTGTGAAGCATTAACACTGTAATTTTGCTCTGCTATTTCATATATTCAAACCGAGATTAACACCAAATATATACGGGCTTACTATTTCTCCTAGCGAAATTTGTGTCACCTGCCACGTACAGTAGTATTATGTACTAGAGGTCTTCATCTTGAGGCTCTACTACACGCTGATTTATATGCGGGTGTAATACAGATAATCTTGGAATGAGGCACAGCAGTGTGAACAAGCAACCAAATGCTCTCATAAAGCGACATCAAAGTTTATCTTTCTTCTTGAGGCTATCGACAGCAAAACATATGCTGCGTCCGACTTGTATGCTATACGTATCGCCTTCTCCGTTGGCGATGTCACATTGTTACATGCAACCTATAGTCCTGGCGATACAAAAGCGAATCCGCCTCCACATATAGCCTACACGACTTAAAACTTACCTCAAGGATATAATCGACAGAGAAAACAAACATGTTGCCGTCCTCTGCCAATGATGTGGCCACGGTGTTGCAGTGCGCATCGACGCATGATCTACCTTAGATCCAATACATGTTAGACCCAAGCAGAAGCAACTGGGCCTGACGACTGCATAATTTTTAGTAGTTCTATTACGGATAGGGTCGTTTTTCTAAGCAGCTTTAAGGTGGCGAGTATCACGCGCGATCACGCATTCAAACCCATTGGCGTCTGCGTGAAGCAACGCGTATCCAATCGTCGGCATATTACGCATTGTACTTGCTCAAGAAGTTGGCTGGATCAAGCCGAATCCCTCAGATTCATTTAAGACAGAGGCACTGGCGAATACACAATGGCCAATATCTTCCCGCATCTGCATTGTATGTCCTGCTAATGCGTGTGCATAAGTTGTTGCGTTGTTTTTGCTTGGAGTTTGTTTTGTCTGTAACCCGTCAGTTTGCCCGAGTTAAGGTGTCTTTACTACTAGAATTAGACGGAATGACTTCTCAATCTACCTAGGATATGACAGCGAGCCCGCT